ATATACCATATATCGACAGGACAGAAAAAAAAAATAAATCTACTTCCATTTTGATAAGAACACATATACGAACAACTCAGATTTCTGTCTGAGTCTGCATTTTTATAAAAAAAAGATCTTATGGATTGTAGATTTATAAGTCTACCGAAGCACGGAATATTGACATGACTGAGAATTATTTCTCTGCGGAGCTTTGCAGAGCAGCTCATCTTACTAGAAAAGCGTAGACTAAAATAGGTCACACAGTTGTTGTAGATCTGCTACATAGAGACAATTCAGAAGGAGTGATTGTGTCTTTATTCAACAGCAACTTGTCAACTACTGCTCAACACTCTAATTTCAGCAGGTAAGTAGCGAGCTATGCGGATATATGTATTTCTTATATATTCTTTATACGATATTACTAACGTTTTCTTTAACCACAAACCATTGTTTTCATTTTTATATATATGTTATAACTGTACTGCAGTACAGAGTTTTGTTTTGGAGATCTGTCGGAATATATTGTTACGTTGATTCAAATCACTTTAACTTTGCATTTACTTCCAGCACTCTTAAATAAATATCATAGAAATCCATACATTATCAAAGGTTGTAGGAAACCATCCACATGAAAGTTTACGTTTAGTAGCAATGATATTTTTGACTCAATAAATTTATTAGCTGTCACCGGGTTAATAAGTTTGTCAATATTTTATTTTATTTATCAATGTTTTTGTTTTTTCATATGGTTGGTAAAAACATTGTTGACAATCTTAACTTGTTAATGCAATCAATATTATTAGTATCCATTTCAAACACTTTAAGTTGTACTTTTTGTCATCATAACATAACAATAATCACATTGTACATTATATTTTAATAATAATATTCTTGGTAAAACAGATGATAAATAAAAGTGGATATCAATTCAACTCATGTGTAATCATTCTGAAAATCATATATTATTAATAAATATATTACTATACTAAAACGTTCGACTTACCTTACCCATATACAGACCCCACACCGGTTATGTACGGTTAGGTTGGAGTTACGGCCTTGTGCCCAAAGCACAGTTAAGCTCAAATAATGTCCCGCTGTAGTACCTCTAGATTAGTATTTGTCCATGCACCGACTAGAGGTCAGCGTACAAGCAACGCTAATGAGGGAATCGTAGAAGTGACGACTCCCCCATTAGGTAAAGTTGTACCAACCTGACAATTCAATAAACTTGGCTGAGTACCTAATTTTGCAGAATGACAACTCTGTTAAGTCGGTAAGAAACCGGTTCGGTAATATTATAACAATAAATTGAATGCAATCACTATATTTAAGGCCCTATGCTCCACTGGGAGTTAATGGAACAAAGAAGAAGACTATATCTATCATTATAGTCCAATGTAATTATTTTTTGATGTCTTTTTTTCTTTTTTATAAATAACAAATATGTCATCGGTTGGGTATATAAAATATTGCTCCCACAATGTAGTACTAATTCCCTATACCTGGAAAACGTCTTTGCTGCAAACAATGAAAATACGCCGAGATGATGAACCGCACTTAGATACCTTGCGATAATTGCTTAATAATTACACCCGTAAGCCGAAATTTTTTTCCTGATCCTGATTTTCAGATTATTTCAGTAATATCAAAAAAAATTTTTACATCAAGCAGTTATATGATGCATTAATAATAAATATACATATATGTAAGTGTAATTCTTCAATCCATTTCAGTGCAGTTAATGCAGTTAATTAAACCCCTACCCCCTGGCTACATAACTGCACATAATATATCTTGATATGTGTTAACATGTGCTTAAGTTTATACAAGATTTGTGTAGATATATGTTATACTTATATTATCACAGTTTCTTTTTTATACGATCATTAACATTCAAAATTGAATATACAGATAAAAAATATGCTATAGACCTTTAAAATTTTGAAACTTACTATATAGACTAGAGACTTTTCACCTTTTAGACTGTGATTATTTAATATCTGAGTTACCACGATTAGGGTTTCGACGAATACCCTAGTATCGTTGATTGGTACCCTACTATTGTTGATTCCAACAACAATCCTAGTATTGTTGCTTCCAACAACAAACGGGTATACATCCCGAAAGCACGGGATGTATACCTTTCTTCATTTTGAAAGAAAAAGAGCAGAGTTTAGGAAATGATATCTGAGGTAAATATATTTATCTATTTATTTAAAGTAAGTTTCCTGAAGACACCAAAGTCTTAAAATCTATTTTGTTATTAATCCTTTTAAACCTCAATATTTGAACTTTATATTAATTGTCCAGGAGAAAAATCGGTTACAAAGTTGAACTTTAAATTAACCGTTAAATATTCAAAAAAGATAATTTAGTTTTATCTATTTTTATCTATTTATAATTTATACAATATATATACATATAAATACATATATATTGATAAAGGCTTGTGTTCAATTTAAAAAATGAATTAAATTCATTATATTATTAATTATAATAATTCATAATATAGACGAAGATAGAATTGATTGAACTCATTATATTAAACATTCGTCAAATTATTCATTCGTTAAATTATATATTTGATAATTTAACATTTGATAAATTAAATATTTGTTACCTAGGCATTCGTTAAAATTGACTTGCATTAAAAATAAACTTTCGTTAAATTGAATATTCCTTTAATTTGACATGCGTTCGTTCAATTGGTTTATCGTTAAATTTAAGATAATTTAACTTGAACATTTGTTAAGTTAAACATTCGTTAAATTAGATACCAACATCGTTGAAGTAGGTATTCGTTTCATTGGACTAGCGTTAAAAACAAACTTTCGTTAAATTGAATATTCCTTCAAATTGATATTCGTTAAATTGCATACTCTTTAGTATTCTTTAACTTACACCTGAACATTCGTTAAATTGGACATCGAAATTCGTTGAATTTGATATTGAATTGTTAAATTAGACATTGGTTTAATTGGACGTTCGTTTAATTTATGTTGAATTGTGTATTTATTCATTATGACTTTGGGTAAATTGTTTTTATTAAATTTAAATAAATGAATATTTAATTGGATGTTTACTAAAATTAGCCATTTGTTAAATTGGATGTTCTTTATATTAGACATAAACTGAATATGTTGAAATATGTTCATGTTATTACTTATTAAAATATAATCTGAGGTGGATCAAAAAAACTTTGAAACACAGACGTTATATAGCAGAAAAATATCGAAAAAGCCTCGCATATTAGAATTTTTTATAAATTTTTAAATTGTAAACTATGATTAGTCGAAAACATAAAGTTTTAAGCCCGCATTTATGTCTTAATAATAAAGTTATTAGTTGTAGATTCTTGTTGAAGGAAGGATCTTTCTTGAATAGAAATACAATTATACATTTCATTCTATTTAATGGTTCGAAAAAAAATATAGTTAATAGTAATTAATTGACACAGCCATAGGTTTGTAACGTGTCGAAGTTCCTGATAGAGGCGTAACTAAATTTTTTTGTAAACTATTCGTGGTATATTTCAATTTCTTGTCATCATAAATGTTTCTAAATTTTTAAAACTATAAATAATAAATATCCTTTATCCGTTTTGTAAAAATTGCAAAGTTTAATTTATAATTAATTTAAGTACTATTACTTATGAATATATAAAAATATGGATCCAGAAATTTGTATAAAACTATTGATGTAAATGCTTAAAATAAAATTTATTTTTTAGGTTTATTACATATATATGATGAAGTGAGTTTACAAAATAATATATTTAGAGAATATTATATGATTTAAAGGACATCAAAATCTATTTTCAAATCTTTCATTTACATTGCAATTCACAGTAGGTGAACTTAAATTGCTTAATTGATTAATTATAATCAAATAACATGTATGTTACAAACGGAAACTATTTTGAGTTAAATTTGCGCACAAGATCTGCAGTATATCTGTTTCATATGTACCTTCATTAACTTATAAACTAAATTATATACTTGACGAAGACAACGAAAAATAGAATTACTAACTGATACTAAGTTAAAATTTGGTTAAACGTTTTATTGGCTTCTATAACCAATTGCGTCCACCACGTCACATATTATCCTTTTTCGCTTCATCGTTTTTAACTGCATCCTCAGTGTCATTTGTGTCCACTAATACAGAAAAAAAATAAAAATAATTATTATTATAAATTGCAAATAAGTAATAATTAGAATTTTAACTTACTTTTCTCTTTTTCATCTTTAATTTCAGAATTATCAGTAGAATTCTTATTATCTTTTTCAAGACGTGGGCGTTTTCTTTGCCCTTTATAGGAACGATTATCGCGTCTGCCGCCTTCACCTTCATCTTCCGAATCTGAGTACTCATTATCGGGAACAATGCGTTTGTCTTTGTCACTTTGCGGTAGTCTCTCATCTTTATCAACTTTATCCTCATCTTCTGATTCATCATTAATAGCATCCTCGGGTATAGCTTGCATTTGTACGCCTGGTGCATGTGGAAGCATACGTAGGTTTTCAAATAGTCTATATATATACAAAATATGGAATTTAATCATTAACATTAAAATTGAAGAAATGTTTACCTATTTTTGATTTTTTCTAAATATTCTGAAGTGTTTTGATTGGACATGTTACTAGGGCTGATATGCAATTTGAAATCGGGGCCAAAATATTCGAAATAATCATTATAAGGCAATTCATTTGCTATTTCAACACCTAAAGCCACGGAAGTCTCATAAGTCCAACAGCGTGATACATTACGTATGGTATAACCACCACCACCGACCATTAGGAACGGTAAATTGTATTTCTTGACAAATTCTACACATTTGCCATGTCCTTTAACAGTTAAATTAAAGCAACCCAGTCGATCGCCAGTCAAGGAGTCAGCGCCACATTGCAACACAACCGCAGCAGGTTGGAATGTTTCCATAACTTTTGATATAATCGGCACAAATATAGACTCGTAGGCATCATCGTCCATACCATCGCGTAAGGGAATGTTTACAGCATAATATTTGCCCTTGCCTGCGCCTATATCGCGCAAATCACCGGTACCTGGAAAATATTCCCCATATTTGTGAAAACTGACTGTCATAACACGATCAGTGGTGTAAAATGCTTCCTCCACTCCATCGCCATGATGTACATCTATATCTATATAGAGAACACGTTGATGGTATTTTAAAAGTTCCAATATGCCCAATACAATATCATTAACATAGCAAAAACCGGAAGCTTCGGATTTTTTTGCATGATGCAGTCCACCACCCCAGTTTATACAAATTTCTGATGCTTGTTTATTTAGTTTTACAGCTGCTGCTACAGATCCACCAGCCGAAAGCTGACAGAATTCGTAGAGTCCATCAAATACTGGACAATCTTCACCTACATTAAAACGCTGCATTTGCTTGTTGTACTCGGACATATTATCAGGTCGTATGGATCGTAAAAAACGTACATATTCATCTGAATGGAATTTGGTCATCTCATCTGCTGTTGCTTTATGTGGACGCTAAAAGTGAATATGGAATAATAAAAATTTACTTAGGAAATCTATTTAAATATATTATATATAAAGTAGTTTAATAAGCATTATAATGGTAAAATCAAATCAATATGGATTTGCCTTACATTTTTAAAAGTGTGCACAACACTCTAAAATTTTTTATGTTTTCAGGACTGAATTATTTGGAGTTTAATTTTTTACTTCCATTTAGTTTAAGAGTCTAATTGGTTTCCAAAAGTAATGAAGTCCCAAAACGAGCCGTCAATATTGACGATCAAGTACAAAAGTCCAAGAACAGCAGAGGCTACGTTCTAGACTCACTCGTCAAGTTCGACGACTAACAGTCATTCAACATTCCCAAAAGGGACAACGCAAGTAGATCACTACGGACTACAACAACAACATCAAGTACCTACAGTGCATCACCCTCACTTCAAACTTAACTAAGTCTTATACTTATTTTATATGGCAGAATAAAATTCGATTAGAGTCCGTAAGAGCTTTCCAACTGTGGTCAGATTTACATCGAAAAGTCACTCGCCACAATTTTGATGTCAAAGTATTGTTTGAAAGTCATCTCCCCAGTGATGCAAGTACTATTCGATAAGGATATAGTCAGATATTTAATAATTATATTTGTCTTATAAATATGTCCATTCTCAATGTGTACCCTCTTTACTGCAGCTGTTCTCATTATGCCGTCACCCATATGTTTTTATGTCCCCAAACTCAAGCTCTATTCATTTATGGCTCTACAACGTTAAAGTGACAAAAAATTCTTTTGTCTGGACCTCAACTACATTCGGCATCAACTTCCCATTCTCATCTCATACTACAGTCTTATGATCCAAGTTTCAACTCGAAAACAAGCCATGTTCAGAATACGGGCTATAACAAGGTGGACTAATAACATTAGTTTCAATCGTTTGAAATTGTTTTTATTGTATTTTGTCTGAACAGACACTATATCTTAAACACTGCAATTTGATATACACTATTTTTTACTTACTAATATGATTTATAGTTACTACACGGACCATTTCTTGATCCCAAACACTTTAAGGAAACAACTTAATACAAAATTTGCTTTGCCTGTGCCACATTGAAGTGCTTAGGGTCTTCCACCTTGACCTAGATTGACTTTGATTAAAAGCCCATCTACACCTATTCCATTGTTGCTTCCAAACAATACCCTCTAACACTACCATCACCAACCCACATCTTAACGCATGCACACGTATTTGTAATATCTTTCATATTATCTGTTCTATAGATCTCGGCAGGTTATCACAACAACAATCTACCGTGATGAAGTATTTTATACAAAAAAATAGAATTCAATGGTGCAATTTACTGTTTTCTTGAACATTTACAAAATAACATTGTGATTAAGACTAGTCTGTGAAACAAAGGATAAGATAGGCCGTACTATCAGCTGCATCTTTCAACAATTTTTCGATATTTATCATTCCTTATGAATACCTCATGTTACTGGATTCTATAGTTTCATTCTATAGTTTGTGATGTGAAGTAGTGTGAGCTATAAAATGCTTTAATTTTTTTTTTTTGAAAAGAGAAGGTGCTAAACTATCTATGATTTGATCATTTGGTTACTAATAAAAAAGCTATAAATATAATTTCAGCCTTATAAATTATTGCAATCTATAAAGTTTTTCATCTACTGCTTGTTAAATTTTAAAACAATTTCTAAAATATAACTTGAAGAACAGTTCGTTTAAACAAATTTTTATTTATATTATACACAGTTTTCCAAGTAAAATTTAGCCCATCTACCTGCTTAACATTCTTTTTTACATATGAAGCCTCAGAGTAAAACTTTGTAGTACCTAGGCATGTCTTGAGTTATCCATGTTTTCAGACGACCAAGTATCTGTCATCGCTTTTAACATGATATTAAAAAGCTACAGAAGTAGAAAGAAGTAGAAGTTTCTACAGAAGTAGAAATTTAATTGACGTGATTTCGTGCCATGAAGTCCCAACACCACGGTGCTCTTAACACACTATTAGTATATTACGCCGCTAACCACCACATTGAAACTTCGACAAATTGCACCGATACCAATGGAAACTATACGTTTGAATATAGTTCCCTTCTTGGTGAGCAACGAGGCCTATCTAACACCTTTGCTGGTTTTTGGGGCACAACACCCGGTTGGAAAATGCAACTCCACATGGAATAAAACTAAATAAGTTACAACAAGAATAAAATTTCGAATAAACCGTCGACAGTTCGGCGATTGTTCGACTATTGTTGAGTTCCAACAACAGTTGGAGAACCGCAGCTGATTGACCTTTCACTCTTCTAAACTGGGGCTTCTACGCTGCAACGACTGCAAGAGGCGCCATTTATGTTTATATTATTTTATTGAATTTCAAAATAAAATGAAAATATGTTTACTGCATGTGTGTAATTCTTGAGATTACAAGAAACTTGAAACCTGTTAATATAATGGATATATATACCACATATATAAATATTCCATGTTTAGTCAGAAAAAAAACAATTAACTAAAGCAATTTACATTTAAATTTCATACTAAAAAATAAAAATACAATCAAGTAAATAAATAAACATATTCATAAACTTACATATATTTCCATTTTTCTATATAAACCATAATTCAACAATAAATTATGTGTCATACGTATACGGTGTGGTTTCATCGGATGTCCCTGTCCATAGTAGTAATTGCCAATATCACCTGTTAAAATGAAAAATGTTAATATACTTTTAAATAATTAAATTAAAATTTAATTTAAAAAAATCTTATTTTTTCAAATCATTAAAAATATTCAATTTTAATGAGAACATCAAACAGATTTTTTGAAGAAAGTCTGAATTAATTTTCACCGGCTTTGCTAATATAACACGTACACATAATACGGCCACCAGAAAAGTGAGCTGTGACTGAAATATAACGCGGCAAGGGACACTGAGTTTAGAGTTTAAGATACACAAAATTTTAATTTTTATGGGTGAGATTGCAAATAATTTTTTTTATTACATTTTTACGATTTTATATAAAACAAACACTTGTTTTTATTGTTAATTTAGTCAATAACAAAAAGAAAGAGTTTTATTTTTAATAATACATATAATATTGCAAATATTTAATAAATACTTACTGTCGTAATAATAGCACACACGCTTTTTACTGTGAGACTGCATTGTTGACTATATTGTCCAGTTCGAATTTTTTTTGGAAAACAAAAAAAGACTTTTTTATTTAATTTAAATAATTAATATTCCAATATTTTTATTTTATTCTTTTTTTTCGCTAATACCGCGTACAGACAAGCAAAGCGCGTCCTAACTATTCTACGTATATGCTGGAATGAGAGAACAAAGAAACAATTTTGACAAATTTGACAGCGAATAATTGCCATCCACATAATGCGCATATCTTGCCTATATTTTGAATGTCGCTTTGTGCCCATTGGTTTGTGTACAGACTAAATGGTGAATTGTTGAATGAAATAAAAAAACTTAATAATGCCTTAATATATATAATTAGAGATATAAATTAAAAGTTGACGAAAAATTAGTTTTACAAATTCCTGCACATAATATTTTTAATACAAGCTAGTCTTGAAGACGACTGTATAATTTAATTGCGATGGAGAAACATTACGCAAAAGTATTCCTAGGGCATGAATAAATGAACATTCAATAAATTAAACTAAAAAATAATAATAAAATAATTTTATAAAATAAAGTATAAAAAATCTTCTATGTATTATATCAACAAAAAACAAATTATTTTTCTAGGAAAAAAAGAAATTAAATATTGAAAAACTATACAAAAAAAATTTATTTGAACTTTTATGTATTAAATTTTTATAAAATATAATGATAAGTCGTTAACTATAAACTTACAATTTATTTTATTTATTAAAAGTGATACTTTAGTGTAAATAACTAAAAATTAACATGGATAGATATAGAGGGCGTTTACATTATAATGAGCTCATTTATGCAACTGTTAGAACTTCACTTAATAATATAGCACACAAAAAATTATATACTAAAATATTTATGTGATTGATCTTTTAAATTATTTACATACATACATCTTATATATCAACTACATACATAATTAATAAAAACAAAGATTTTATTAAATACTTACTTCCTCAGTGCTTTTGTTTACAGCTCAGCTGTTGTTTGTTCACATTTTCAATTTCGGTATATTCCCTTGTGAGAAATTTATTTTTAACGGTTGCATTCGACATTTTTCGACTATAATGACCTGATTTATTAATAATGAGCTCACTTATATAAAAGTATTTTCTGTGGTATATCATCCTCATTAGAGGCTATAATGAGCGTAACCATATAAATAAACCAGTGTAAATGTTCTATTAAACTTACAATTGAAGCAACTAAATCTTTTATATTTGCAAAGAAATTTAGTTGTGTTAAATTTCATTATTAGAAAACCATTTATCCAAAATGTGAGGCGATGCATGTATTCAGTAAATTTATAAACGGTTTAGAAGCATTTCAGAAAAATTTTCAAGCTAGTTAGTCAACTTCAACGATGACTATATAAAATAGTTTCATATTTAAATGCAATTATTTATATTTTTTACCTCAAGATCTATTAACCTAGTAGCCTACAAAATACATTAAAATTAAAATAAAACTTAATGGTCATTAATACACAGCATTTTTTAAAAAATGTAGGGAATTTTTTAAAATGTGGATGCAAAATGTTTTTATGTTGCATAAAAAATATTTTGATATTTTAATATGAAAAGAATTGCAGCATTTAATGCATCACATAATTACAATTTCTTTTGAATATAATGTATAGGTTTGTTAATGCTAATACATAATAATTATCATAAATAAAGCAAAATAATTTTAACGCTGTGGCAACCCTTTTTAATTTGGTTTCGTATACAAAAAGATAATCAAAAAGAAAAATCAAATTGTTTACCTCAGTTCGCCGCTGTGCCGAAACTGTGTGAGGCAAATAACAAGAATCAAAACAAAATGGCTGTTTGAATTATGTGCAGGGTTGATGTTATTGTACTTTTTATCTATTTTATTATAACTTCATGTCCATACATATGAATGTGAATTATGCATCTCAACATATTATTTTATGATTAATAATATAAATGTTTTAAAAATTTTTTAATAATATTATTAAGAAAATCATATTATATGAAAAACAATCATTATTTGTTTAAATACACACTTATGTGGTATGATAAATGATACGATACATCTTATTTTGAACACACTAATATTATTTATTACCATAAAAGAGTTTAACAACAAAAATGTTATAAATTTGTTAAAAAGTTATAATAATAATGTACTATTTCACTTTTTTTATATATATGGATATATTATAAAGGCGCTAAAGGTCTATGTATATAGAGCTTATATTTTATATATGCATAAAAATATAAGAAATAACCCATATTATATGGTTATGAGGAATTTAAAATTTCACATAACACTTTTTATATTATCTCTGCATTTTAATTATGTATTAAAATAATAAATCAGCATTAAAATAAATTATTGTTAGGAGTTATCCAAGGATAATTATATTAAGTCTGTTCCACGAGCTACTCTTAGTAAAACTCAAGTAAAGTACAAACCGAAAGCGTAATGCTAAATCACGCTCTTTACACGATTTTCATGGAACAGCTTTATGTAAAGTCTGGTGAGAGCACCAGTGCCGTGCAAATCAACAATACAAAAATTGAAACAGAAATTATACTTGAAATAAAATGTACGAGTAAAGTCTGTTTGGCATTTTCAAATTAAGACAGGGATGTTACGTTCTCTTAGATGCTCTTATTTACTCGAAAATTTGCTGGTGGAACGCACTTGTGTATGCACAGTGTTACTCAAAGTTACTACGAGTAGCTCGTGGAATTGACCTATTATATAGATACTAATCTCGTTTGAGGTAATTGTTTTGCAAAAACAATTACAATTACAATTACATTCGGAAATATCCAATACCTTAATGCAGCTATGCACACAGAACAATGATTGGAGTTAAAATAAATACTGAAATAAGCTGATTTCACACTATTTGGAAAGATTTGACTGATTTTGGTGCAGAAAGCATTTCTCTATTGCTTGGGGTAACACGCTTGCTTGGTATCATAATTTATAACAATGAATACTAATAATTCATGAAATATTATCTAAAAAATCTTGAAAATTCTTATTTTATGTTATAATACATCTTGAGGAAGTCGATTATTTGCTTTTCAGAAAAAGTGTATAAAAACTAAATCCAGTAGTCAATATTCATTCCTATTCATTCATGCAATATCTATTAAGTTTTATTTTCTAAGAATTATTATTTGCATTAATAAAACACAATAAATAATTATTAACCATCAATACTGAAATGAGTTTAATGTATTGTCAAACACAATGCAACCCTGGTTTTGGTACAAAGCAGATTAAAGAAATTCGCTGTTTTCGCTGCTTTCGCCTACTCAAATGCTTCAGTCTGGTTTGTGCGGTTCGTGTGTTTGCGTGTAGAAATTTATTTGGTTGTGTCGGCGGCTTTAATGCAGTTTTTCAATTCAAATAAGAAAATTTAAAGTCATTCATATTAATGTTTTCTTATAGAAACAAATCATTAAAGATTCACTAAAATATTAAAGTGTGTATATTATTTTGTTTATTTATTTAAATTAAATGAATGTTAAGTGATAAAAATGTGAAATGAAAAAGAAATTAAAAGAAAAAATTTTTGTCTCGCCCCTTTTTGTGTGAAACTAGTTTTTATTGAAGTTTATGTTTTGTTGTTGTCTTTTTTTTTTTGTGTTTTTGTTTTAAATAATGTAAAAGTTGTTTTTATCAAACAAAAGTGAAATAATATGTGTAATATTTGTTTAAGCGAAAAATCCAGAAATATTTTTATTTTTGTTATTATTTGTCTTATTATATGCAGTTCCATGCTGAATTTGTGCAGACATCTGTGGTTGCCTCTTACCTTCTTTGTATCCTGTTTTTCGTTTCTGTTTGCGTTTGCGAATTAGCAACATAAAATTTACTTTATGCTTTTTTGTAGCATTGTTGTTGTTGTTGTCGCTGTTGCTGTTTTCGTCTCCATTATCTTACACAGCCTCGTCCCACTGTCTGCGCCTAGCGTATCTGTCTTTTTAGTTTACTTTTTAACTTTTTTGTTTATTCCATTTTTTATTTTTACCAGCTTTTTGCTGTCTCCAAGGAAGAAACGCACTGCGGGCATCAATTTTTTAATCGCTTTCCTGACTTCTTTAGCTTAAATTTTCTTCCTATTTTTATGTGATTTTCTTTTAAATTTTCCAATTAGTCTTTGTGATTTCGGCTGCTAAGTGAATTAAAAAAAAAACAAAAAATTATCCACGTATGTGAGTTGGAGTTTTCCAAATACCGGAAAAATTCATTTTCAAACTTATAAAATTTAATGTGGAGAACGGCTGCGGTTGATGTAAAAAAATAATTGTGGTGAGTATTTTTTTTTGTAATCATTTGTTTATGCTTATGATATACTTAGATATTAACCATTATTTATTATTAATTATTATACTTTTTACTATTAAATATTTTCAATTATTAAAACTATTATTTATTATTATTATTTATATATTAATAATAATAAATAAATAAGTAATAATAAATAAAAAAATAAATAATAATAATAATAATAATTAATAAATAAAGTAATAAATAAATAATCATAATAATAAATATATAATAATAATATATATAAAATAATATGAAAATTATTTATTATCATTAACATAATTATGTATTATTGCTTTCTTTATTATATTATATTATATTTCGTTTATTCAATCTATTAATTATACTATAATTGAAATAACTATTATTCGTTATTATTAATAATTTTAAAATTATTGGTAAATATTAATACAAATATAATTATTATTTATTTATTATTATTGTTATTATTAATATATTATTGATTTTTTATATCGTTATATATTATTATAAAAATTATTATATATTATTAATTTCATTTATTAATCTTATTATTATATATTTTTAATTCTATGTATTATTATTATATATTATTGGTTTTATATAATATTATTCTGTTAGATTTGTAATTTTCATACATGAATATTATTTTTTATTGTCTATTATTATTTATTATTGTCTATTATTATTATTTATTATTGTCTATTATTATTATTTATTATTGTCTATTATTATCTGTCTATTAATTTAATGTATTTACTTAATAATTAATTCCCCATTTTTATTTTATATATTGTTGTTTTATATTATTGATAATCTTTTAATTAACATTGTGACCGAAAAGTTTCCGGTCATAAATAAAT